CAAGGAAGGTGAACTTTGGCCTCTGCTGGATCGGAGTGGATGTTTTTAAACGGGGGAGCGGTTTGGGCTGTGTAACGTTTTTGTCCCGTTCCCCCCCCCCCACTTCTTCACAATCATGGCAAGGAGGTGGAATAAAAGGTGCCAATAAAAAGAGAATAATTGTAACCTCCTGGGGTTGAAATGAGGGGTTCTTAGTGCTTTGTGAACTTTGTGGTTTTTCTTGCAGACATTTTGTTACCGAATTAGGTAACATCATCAGTGCTAGAAGGGAAGGGGGGGGGGTTGTGGAAAGGAGGAGGAGGGGGAATGACTGTGGGGTTCTTGATGCTCTCTTGGTTGTCCTCTTGCAGACGTTTCCTGACCCAACTAGGGAACATCATCAGTGGTAGAAGGAAATGGGGTTTGCTCTCAGTTTATCAATCCCTTCTAGCACTGATGATGTTCCCTAGTTGGGTCGGGAAACGTCTGCAAGCTCAGAGAGCACCAAGGACCCCCTCACAGAATAATAAGAGTCGGAAGGGGCCTTGGAGGTCATCTAGACCAGCCCCCCCCCTCAGGAGACCCTATACCATTCCTGAAAAATGGCTGGCCAGTCTTTGAAATCTCCAGTGAGAACCCACTGGACTCGTGGGAAAATATTCTGTAATGTTCCTTAGAGGAAGAGTCTAGATAGAAGAACAACAAATACAAACAATTAACCCGGGTTTTGGGCAGTGGTTTGTTTCAATTTAGTTTCTGAATGTTTTGTAAATGTTTAATAAGGAGAATGGGACAAGAAAATCCTGCTGTTACCTAGTCTGGTAACAAGACGTTCAGAAACGAAATTGAAGCGAGTTGCTTAGTTTACTTTATTGTCATTTTGCACCTAGCACCATGAAATTAAATGCCATCTTCAGTGTACGTCATACATATGAAAACCCACATCCTTCACATTCTATACAAATTGAACTGAAAACCCGTGATATTGCATTAATATTTCACTATGTCAGGGGGTCTTCGAACTTGACAACTTTAAGAGTTGTGGACTTCAACTCCCAGAATTCCTCCTCCTCCAGTCATGTTAGCTCAGGAATTCTGGGAGTTGGAAGTCCACAAGTCTTAAACTTGCCAAGTTGGAAGACCCTTGCACTATACAGTAGAATTCAATGTAGATACAAGCTTGAAGAGCAAAGCACTCCTAAAAATCTAAAACCCGAGCTAGTTTCCCCCCCCCCACTATTAACCAGGATTAAACTGTAACATTCATATCACAGGAAGTGTTGCATTCCTGGTTTTAAATAAGGGGGAGGGTGTGTGTGTGTGTCTGTCTGTGATGGCTTGGCTGGTGGAAATCCAGCCCCCTCGTTTAGTTCAGAGTTTAGCTGTTTGTGAGAAACCGTTCCTTCTTTGCAAATGCAGCCTCATGATGGGTGTGTGGGCTCAGGCCAGGTTTAACTGGTTTTAGTTGATGAATTGTGGCTGGCTGGATTTGCTGACCAGGTTGAGGCATACCTTGTTTACTCATCAGGTCTCCTCGGCTGAGCCTTTTTTTGGAACTGTCAACTAGCCAGATGCAACCCGGGGTCCCCTTCGGTTCCCAGAATGCTCAACAGCCCCCCGGGGATTTGAAATCTAAACCTTTAGGATTGGTTCAAGGAAAGGGTGCATAGAAGTTTTCAACAGGAGACGGTGAGTTCAAGTCCCACTTTAGCCATGAAAGCTGGCTGGGTGACTTTGGGCCAATCACAAGGAGACAGTGAGTTCTAGTCCCGCCTTAGACGTGAAAGCCAGGTGGGTGACTTTGGCCCAATCACCAGGTGACTGGGAGCTCTAGTCCCGCCTTAGGCATGAAAGCCAAGTGGGTGACTTTGGGACAATCACTAGGAGACAGCGAGTTCTAGTTCTGCCTTAGTCATGAAAAAGCCAGGTGGATGATTTTGAGCCAATCACCAGGCGACGGTGAATACTAGTCCCGCCTTAGGCATAAAAGCTGGACTTTGGGCCAATCACCAGGAGACAGTGAATTCTAGTCCTGAATCACCAGGAGACAGTGAGTTCTAGCCTGCCTTGGGCAGGAAAGCCAGCTGGGTGACTTTGGGCCAGTCACTAGGAGACGGTGAGTTCTAGT